AGGCCTGACAGGAACGAGCACTGCTGTTCCTGCTGTTGCTGCTGCTGATGCAGCTGGCGTTGTTGGAGATACTGCTGCCTCATTTGCTGCTGCTGCAGTTGCTGCTGTTGCAGGTACTGCTGCCAGAGCTGCTGCTGCAGGTCGGCGTCCTCCCCAAGCCACGGCTGTTGCACTTCGCGGCGTCGTGCTTCCCCCGTGCCTCGCTGCTGCTGTTGCTGCTGCTGTTTCTGTTGTTGCTGTTGCAGCAGGAGCAGCTGTTGCTGGAATTGTCTCTGCTTCAGCTGCAGCAACCGCGCATCCTCTTGTTGCTGTTGTTGCTGCTGCAAATTGGGCCTGCCAATTGTGCCATAGTTTTGAAAAGCTTCCTCAAAGCCAGGAGGGGTAAGAGAGGCAACTGTTGCCGTTTTTTCTTGCTGCTGCTGGAGCAGCTGTCGGTGCAGTTGCTGCTGCAGCTGTTGCTGGAGATCCTCCCTCTGCAGCTGCTGCTGAAGCTGCTGCTGCTGCTGCTGCTGCTGCTGCTGCTGCTGCTGAACTGCTCGCAAATGCTGCCCTGCAAAGACACCGAGCGAACGAAGTCTGCGTTCCAGTTCTCCAAGGGCTCCAAGGCTCTCCTCTGTGTTTTCTTGCTGCTGCTGGCACTGCGGCTGCTGCGGTTGCCATTCTGGTTGCTCTGTAAGCTGCTCCTGTTGTTGCTGCTGTAGATCATGCTGCTGTTGCTGCTGCTGCTCGTAGTGGTTCCCATGAGACTCTCCATCATTCTGCAATGCCTCGTCTTGCTGCTGCTTCTGCTGCTCATGAAGCTGCTGCTGTCTGTGGCGATCCAGAGCCTCTGTAAGAATCCGCAAAGCCTCCCCCTCATCACCTGGATTGCTCCCGAAATCCATTCTTTTCAGGCGTTGCTAAACTGAATGAGGTTCGTGGATTCGCTGCTCTGCTTGCTTCTGCTGCTGCTGCCAATGGCCTGAAAGGAGATGGCGGCAACTGCAAGTAGAGCAATTCCCGTGGCTGATTGAAGGATCCCTGTACTCATTTGATGCTCGCGAATATGTGTGTCTACTTCCGGTGCAGCAGCTGATGCTGCTGCTCCTGTCGTTATACAGCAGTTGCTGCTATTGCAACGGAGGTGGATGCTCTTGCCACAGTGCTCGTGCCCGCCCGTCCCAGGTGTTGCTGCGGGAAAATCATTTACTGACGGCCACAACGGAGCACCAACAAAGAATCTGCAACTGCCGCTTTTGGTTGTGTTGCTTCTGCTGCAGTTTGGTGCGCAGAGGGCATCGGCTGTTGCCAGGTAGTTAGCTGGGCTCTGTGTGCCGGCCTACGAACTTCGTCAGTGTTGGCGCCTCCACCACAGCACCTTCTGAGCGAGCTCTTGGCGGCGTTGCTGTTGCAGCAGCAACAGCAGCAGCAGCCGCTGCTGCTGCTGCTGCTCTGCCAAAGAGGACTGGAGGAGCCGCTGGAAACCTCCTGAAGGCTTGCAGGAGACAGTCTCACTTCACCCTTCTAATGTCTTTCTCAGCTCAGAGATACGAAAAAAAAACCTGTTCAGCCAAATATAGGAGTGGCAGGAAGGGCTGGAGCAACAGCAGCAGCAGAGACTGCGAACGTTATCCCCTTGACCTCAGCAGAGCTGCGTGAGGCTGCAGCGGCGGTTGGTCCCGCTTGCTCTGGCTAAAGCTAAGAAGATTTTGCTATTTAAGTAAAGTTAAACAGAATTAGTTGGAACTGCCGTTCCTGGGTGAAATACAAAAGAAAGATACTAAAGCCTGAGTGTGGAAGCCCGTACACCTCAGCTGTTCCACGCCTGGAACGGCTGATTGTACAGCCAGCTCCTTTGCCCAAACCCTGAATACACACCTTTTTGCTTGGCTCAACTGTTTAATTGAAGAGGTAAGACGGGCAAAAAATTACAGAACATCACTGGGAAATGGCAGAAGGATTTGAGCCGGTCTGCGTGGGGGGCGCGGGGCAGCGGTGGGTGTCTTCTCCGTGTCAAGTGCTTTAGTGCCCATTTAATCTTGTTAAGGTCCTAATATGAGATTTTAAGCATCTGCTTTTTCCTGCCATTTCTATTTTTGGCGAAAAGAAGAGGGTAGACGCCACATGCTAAGGCGTTCCCCAAGTATGAAAGTACGTAGGCGTCGCACGTTCCGCGGCTTTGTTTCTTGGGGGAAGACAGATATGTCTGTTGTCCTGCTCTGAAGAAACGAGATGCTAAACAGGAAGGAAAAAAACGAAAAATGTTCTACTTGGTCCACTTTACCGCTATTTCAAGCTGCCGCTCGCAGTCTCCCGCCCCGACGGTGACTGGCGTCCTATGAGTGCCATTTCTAGGTGTTGGTCATTATAGTGGTTAGGGGCCTTTTCTCTCTGTTCCGCTTCACATCTCGAATGTGCGTCTCCCTAGACATATATTGCAGGAGCAGCAGCTACGTAAGACCTTCGTGTCTCAGTGTGCACGGCTGAATCAGTGAGACTGTGCTTGCAACAATGGTCCTTGAACGTGCTCAGCGAGCACAAAAAGCTGCCTCCACTTCCATATTCATCCACAGCAAAGCCAGTGCAAAACTGGCTTAAACCCCTCCGCCTAAGGTTCCCCAAGCAGGTGAGCTGCTTCCGGGGAGCATGCTGACAAGGCCTTGCTGTAATTTTGGTGGCTGCGCGTGAAAACGTTCCAAAATCTGCATTAGACTTCCTTTGCATTTGAGCCAGAAAAAATAAGAGACCAGAGTCCACAAAGTGGTGCTGGGGTACCAAGGTGGTGCTGGGAAAGAAACTTAGCGATTCACATGCGCAATCGCCGACGCTCCGGAGCGTTTGCCGCCGTAGAAATACTCAGCCCAGAAATCCAACACGAAACTGGAGCACGTCCTGACCAGGCCGAAGAATAAGTGCAGCCCGCTCCGCTGGATTCAATTAGATCGGAGTGGATGTAGGGCCAACGGGCTGTAGACAGGCAACGAAAGCATCAAAAGTTATCCAGGCACAGACAGCCCAATTTAATTTCAGTGCGATTTGCTTTGGAGCACTTCTGCATTAGAGGCTGGGACTGTCGCGACCAGTAATTCACCCAGCTTGATTATTCATAGGACTCACACGCAATGCTGCTCAAGTTTCATCCATGAACTGTACGGCTTGGGCGTAGCTTCAAGAACATTTCTCTGCAAGATTGCACAGCTATGCCAGCCGCACAGCCTTCTCTAACAAGAGGCGCTCATGCTTACAAAATATCTTGCGGCAGCAGCAAATGCCTACAGGCCCGTAAAGATTATTTTATAGCTAGGGGGCACCACATTGCAGTACTTAGGCATGGCGTACCAACAAAGTCTAACGGTCGAAGTACTGGATTCCTCAGCTAGTGAATTTACTCACGCCGTCTGTCCTCTTATCTTTATCTAGTTCAGGCCACCCTTTGCTTACGCGTAGATCTCCTTCTAACGGCTTTAATCTAATTTGTGTAAGCGGGCCTCGAACGACTCTGATAGGGAGCTGTTAACCTGTGCCGGAATCAATTCCTGCCCTGTAAGTCTGCATGTAAGACTGCCCGTTTGTGGTACAGTTACCGCCTATTGTGGGGTGCTACGCGGTTACACTATCCCTATGGTCGTACTCTGAATGATCCGTTACTTTCGCCGTAGGACCATAACTTCCGCGTCCCAAATACGTCGCCCAACAGGCAGAATAGTCCTTACTTTCTGAGGCGCACGCTTAAGAAACTGCCGCACCAGGTATTATCTCATTGCCATGAGCTGCTCCAACCTCCAGTTCTGCAGCTTCGTCTTCTGGATCAAAGTCATATGTGGATTTCCAAACACACTGGAGAAAATGGATGCGTCTGAACTTTCAGCAAGCTGTTGCTCTCCTGCGTCAGCGGATTCAGCATGGTGTACTACTGTAGTCTAGCACACCTTTACAGCGTCCTTGTCCCAAAATCAGATTTAGTGTTCTAGAAGGATTATTGGATGAGCTGGGGGACCAAGTAATCTAGTGGGGAGGAACTTCTTGCTTTGTGCCGACAGTGCTCTGTGCTTTGCTGCAGGCTGCATTTGCGGGTACAACCGTCACAGCTGTAGCTGAGGAAAGCAGTATCACTCCTGTTTTACCTCGACTTTCTCTTCATTCTCTCGTAGTCTCCTTGAGTTCCCAAGCTACTCACGAGTCAGCCCGCCATTCTGTCATCCCATCGTAGTAAAGTGTCGCAACTGACGTGCTTGAATATCTGTCAGAGTCTTCTTGAGTTCCCATGCTACTCACGAGTCAGCCTGCCCGTCCGTCGTCCCATCCTAGTAAAGTGTCGCAACTGACGTGCTTGAATGTGCAGGAGAGAAAGTCTCGCCAAGTAACTGCTGAAAGATCCACTGTAATAGCTCACTTCACCGGTAATTTAACGCTCGGAATCCCAGACACGCAAACGCATGCATGGGCACCTGTACACACGGCACAGTGCCGACAGTATCCGAGTACCACTATCCCTCATAAGGGTGATCATTAGTCTAAACGAGTGCGCTGAGCAGAAAGTATCGATATATGGGAAAGTTAAGATTTCATGCGAACAATTCACTGCGTTGGAGTTTCAATCAGCCCCAGCAGTTGCCACCGAGAAGGGCTGTGCTGGAGCAAAGGCTGCAAGCGGTGTTCATAACCTGCTCCCCATCTGAGCTTGTTTTTGATATAGCTTTGTTTAGTGCTTAAATTAGGTGTCTGGATTTCACTTAGTCATACTGTAGCTACTGCAAAGTGCAATCCTGTGTGGACCGCAGAAGAGCCCCCCAAACGACTCGCCGACAACTCTTCTTTATCCTGAGGAATGTGCGCGCCTTTTAAGGGGCTTCCCCATAATTTGCCCACAACTGTTCAGTGTTGGAGCCCCATTGAGCTCCTGGCTCGTGGGGTCTTCTCTTAGGAGCGTCCAGGGGATTGTGTAGAATCTGCTGGTGTTGTTGTGGCAGGCGCCTTCTCAGTTTGTACCCCTTGGCACTACGTGTCTTCAAAAACCCACAATGGCTCTGGAAAAGGGGGGGTCACCTTGCTGCTGCTGCTGCTGCAGGGGCCCCGCCTGTACTGGTGAACCGGTCAGCGGAAGTGCTCAAGGCGGAGGGACGACTCCAACAGCAACACGAGTAGGAGCAGCGGTAACAACAGATTCATACTTACGGCAGCGTGCACTAAAAGTTTGCAGCAGGACCAAGAAAATCCCTTTGCTAACAGAGGCAGTGGAGGAGACGGTCAGGGAGTGCAGCAGTTGCCGCTGCTGGGAAGCTGCAACAATAGCACCGGAAAACCGAAGTTTCTACTGCTGCCTTTGCATGCAAGTAAGAAAGAGGAATGACTGTATCTTCTGGGCGTCACCCTGGCGAAGCAGCTTCCGCACATTTGCGGCTTTTAGCGACCCCATTGATGCAGACGCTGCAGCAGCTGAGCACCAGGAGCTGCAGCCCAGCAGAAGCAGTAGCAGCAATGCCAATGAGTCAGAAACTTCTTCAACAGAAGCACCAAAAAAGAAAGGGACAAGGGGAAAAAAAGGCTCCAGGCCTAGTCGCAACATTTACGGCAAACTGTGGCGCGTAGCGCGTGCTGCCATTCCCCTCTCTCTGGTATTCTCCGCTCTTTGCTGCGTACGTGTCTCGAGCTGTTTCTTCAGCTGCTGTTGTGGTTATTGTGTTTTCTTCTACTGCCCGAGTGTGCGTTCATTTGCGCGTTTGTGCCTGCTGTGTGGCCTTTGCAGTGTTGGTCGATCACGGGCCCTTTGCCTCAAGTTGTATTTTTATTAGGCGCTTTCTTCAGCTGCATTCCTGTTGCTGATGCTATCGCTGCACTTGTGCGCGTGCGAGAAGGCAAGTAGGGTATATTTTACCATTTCGTGGTTTGCTGCAGGTGTATCTGCCTTGTCCACGCCGCTACGGTTGGGTTATTTGCTTTGGAGTTACATTCACTGTATGCCCTTGCGACATTTCTTGGGCAGTTTCTTAATGCAGCGCATGCTGCGCGAGGCTGTGGACTTCCCGGCTGATGCACGAAAGCATTGCTGTGCGTGTACTGTAATTTGAACGCTTGCATGTACTGGTACACCTCCGTGCTTTTGTGTAAGACCTCCTGCAGCCGCTCGCACACCATTTCTTAATCTCATTATGCAAAAGAAAACCCATATGGCATGTTGCTAGGTTTGTTCACGTACAGATGCTTGCACATCGAGTGGATTTGTGTAGTGCCAGTTGCCTTGTGCTGCCTGGTTTTATGCAAGCAGCAAGCCTCCGTGCTTGCTGTGCGAGTTCAGTGACTCGCATGTTTCATTACTTATTTTAAAGGCTGCTTCCTTGTTTTTATTTTTTTGTGTAGAGCGCCTGACCATCATAGGCGACTTCGGCGTGCAGTGGAGCTTCAAGAAATTCTTTGGAGCTTCTAGGCGATTTGTACCAATGAGTCAAGTCAAAGACGTAATCATCAGCGAGGTTAGAATTTCCAAGGCAGCGCATGCATGCATGTTACAGAATGCCTGCGTGTCTTAATCTTGCCAACCCATGCGCAGATGCATGCTAGTCGGTTCATGCAGCTGCAAACAACAGTATTCATGCTGTCAGTGAATGTATGTGTGCATGCCAGTGCACGCAAAAGCGTCAATGCCTGCACGTGCATGTGCTTACTGCCGGGCCGAGGGTCTATCCTTGCTCTGCTGCCCTCCGCTTGGGAGTAGAAAAACCGGTGTAGGTGCTTGCATGTACGCGCAGATCACGTGTGTGTGCACGCCAAGACCGGAATTGCTGTCATGCCTTACTCTTCTCTGCACGGGTGCATGAATTTCGTGCGCATTGATCTTAAAGCCATGGTTGATTTACTTTGTTTGGGCGTGCTTGTTGCTTGCCTTCGCCTTTTCCATGCATACAAAGACTCTGCTGTGGTGTTTACAGTGTGATTTGGCTGCAGGGCTTGGGGTGTACATTATCTGGTGTTTGCGCAGGAAGTCCACGTCTACCGCGTCGCATATCACGTGGCTATTGTAGTAGGAGATAAGCAAGAACTCATTGTACCCTTCCAAGTAATGTTCCCGCTGCAGACTTGTGTCTCTGTGTCCTGTACTGTACAAACAGAGAGAATCCGTATCATGCATGTGCGCAACAATCGTTGTTTGAAAATCAGGCGCATGAGGCTTCATGCATCAGGTTTACGGTTTTGCGTTTAGGACTTTGAGCTTCGTCTAGAGGACTGCTTGGCAGTGTATGAAGCTCTGCATTGCCTGTTGCGAACTCAAATTCGCGGCGCCGCCAAGAGTTGCACTTCACCTAATGTTGCTGCTATACCGAGAAGACCTTCCATCTGTAGCCTATAAGGTGCTGTCCTGTCTGAATGTGTTTGCTTGCCTTGCTCTCTCTCGTTTCCCTGTTTTGACCTCCGGCCTCTGCGTGTTCACGACTAAAATGTTGCACGCATCTATATGTGTAGTGAGCCTAACGCTGTCTAGGCACTGAGACGTTGCAGCAGACCTGTTCCGTCCGATGACACTGTCCGGATGCGCATAGGCGGCTGAGGTGCATGGAACGATTGGGAAGTGTATATGGGCTGCCCTGCCGTAATCGATAACGAACAGCGCTCAAGTAGTGTCCCCACCTAATCGGTTGTTTGGACCAGAGGCGCAAACCTCTGCGGCCCTGACTAAAATGCATCCGCAACTTTTTCTCCCCACATGTACGCCTGCCCCTGATTAAGAAAAAAGACGAGGGAAGCTGAGTGATATATGCAATTAACGCGAAGAAATGCAAAGTCGCGCACGGGGAATCGCCTGCATAAATTCGCGATTCCGGAGTAGCTGCTCGTGACTGCAGCAGTCGCTGTTGGCTGCAGCTTCTGTTGATGGGCACCAAATAACGTATTACCTACTTTATCGATACACCCACCGATGGTCAGCGTGCTGTGCAGTGTCAACTCCTACAGTGAAGCAGTTCCCTAGTTGCCTCCATAATCGACGGCGTGTGTGCGTCTGTAGCCGTGCTTACTTACAGATGAGCATATATTCCAGTTTCAATGTGCATTTGTGCTCACGTACGTGCATGCACACGCGCATATATAATGCATATGGATGCACGAGCGCGTCTCCGGACACGCACGTATTCTGCACCGTGAATCTCAAGTTTTCACGTGCATCTCTTTTCAGCCCAAATAGCGCATTCACCTGACGTGAAACAAGCCACTGTCGCCGCTACGTTGTTTTTTTTTGTACTGCACTTCGAATTGATACTAATTTATTCAAAATCCTTTTGGCGCTCCCCTAGCACGGCGAGTCCAGTGAAACGAGCAGGAGATACGTAGACAACGACTTAAATACAATGAAAGCATGGATTAGGAATGCACCAGTGGTCTGCAGTGTGCAAAAGTCACGGAGCATTGGCCGCGACTGTGTAGGTGCTAGGTGGAAGCACAGTGATATTTGCACGCGTGCACTGCGCGTGCACTTCGACGAAGCGGCTACAGAAGTTTTCTTGCTCCGTAAAAATACAGTAACGCGGGAACTATTTAAGCACAGATTGACTAACTTGCACGCAAAGTTCGCCTGTTCGCCAGCTAATGCGCTTGCGCGGTCACGTACAAGGAAGACAAATATGCTTCCTTGTGCCTCCATATGCATAAAATTACTTTGTACTGCGGTACGTGTATCTACATATTTATCTGCAAGCAAGATGCATGTACGTTGTGTACAGCCCCTGCAAGAAGTGTGCGTGCCAAAACAGCAGAAACCCGCGCTGGGCTCCTTAAAAACAAGGAGTCCTTCAAGTATTGAAAAAAATCACGTGGTCCTCGACAGCGACCCACGAATGGCTGGCATTTGGCAGCAGCTTCCACAGGAGTCCCATCAACTTCACTTTACGCTGCCCCTGTCCGACTGTTCCAGTGGATAGCGAAACGTTGGGCATGCCACTTGTGCTCCTTTGGACATCTCTTATGGAACCGGCTCCACATATGTGGAGCCTACGAAACCGCCCCACCTGACGCAGTTTCAGGTGAACCCTCTGCGTTTTCCTCTGTGACTTCCACGTCTTGAGCGACCTCAGTCGCGAACGGATTCGGAGAAAAAGGATCTGAAGAACCAACAATTTCGCAACACGAATACATTTCGTTTCCACAACTCGCTTCTTGATCCTCAACAAAGCCGTCTTCTTAGCTCCAGCGTCTCTTGACCGATTTGTTCTAGGAAGCACAACGAAAATAATGCAAAACTGGGCCAGCCTCTGCATTATCGAGCTAAATGTGCAAACCTGCAGGCTCATACGCTGGAGAAGTCGGCGAGTACTCCTGTGCGCCCTCTCCGTAAGAAGGAGACGCAACTCCGGCCACCGGAGACGTGGGAGAGTACGCAACAGGCGAGGTAGGTGAGTAGCGTGGCGACTGCACTGAGTAAGCTGCATCAATCGTTCGTAGACACGCCAATAAGTAAATCAAAATGCAGCTTTACGAAGGCGAGTCGACGTAGGGATGAACTGGGAAGTTGTACATTGCAGGCGTCTAACGCACACTGTTTTATAGACACGGAATACAAGAAGCTTTCAGAATTCAGTGGAGAGATAATGAACTGCCCTTGCCTGGAGAGTTGACGTTGCTGTATCCCCCCGACTGTGGGGAGTACACTGGCGAGGTTGGAGAATAACGAGGAGAAGTGGGAGAGTAGCGTGGGGAAGTGGGTGAGTAGGCAGGCGAGGTGGGGGAGACGGGGTCCGCGACAGGTGAGGTAGGAGAGTAAGAAGGAGACGTTGGCGAGTACGCCGGCGAAGTGGGCGAATACGACGGAGAAGCGACGTTCTGGTTGGGAGAAAAGGGAGCTAGTGGGGCACTTACAAGAGGGGAGGTAGGGTTCATGCCCATGGCCGAATAGACAGGTGATGTGGGCGAGTACGAGGCCGGAGAGGATGGTGAGTAGGCCGGTGAAAAAGTTGGGGATGTTGGAGAATATGAAGCGCTGTAAGACGGAGATGCTACGTTACCCGCACCATCTGCATCCCTGGTGTTCGGTTGGTAGTACGGACTCTGAAGAGGAGAAGACGGGGAGTAAGACGGGGAGAACGTTTCTATCGCGCCCCCAACGACAGGAGACGCCGGCGAAAAGTAACCCTGGCCGATAGGCGACATGGGATTCTGTGCCTCGCGAGGAGAAAAGCAAGAAAGAGGAGACATGGGGGATGTAGGGGAACGAGGTGTCTGCTGAGGCGGTGAGAATTTTCCGCCTAGTGCCTGGGTGTCAATGAGGCGACCATCAGCTGCTGACGGAGAAGTGGGGGAGAGAGGGTTCGATGGAGATTGCGCGAAGGAAGAATACACAGTTGAGAATGGCATTGGCGAAAAGACCGAAGTCACGTTGTGCGGAGACGGCGTGCCGGAACCGTCGGGCGACATGCCGTCAGCCCCGCCAGGTGAGGCTAAGCCCTCAAGGGCTAAATCTTGTTGCGGCTCTACAGCTCTGTGTGCGTCTTTCAGTTTCTCTTCATCTATGAGCAAGTCAACATCTCCTGTCCCCAAGGGGCATAGCTGACCTAGCATGATGTTCTCTGTCACTCCTCTCAGGTGATCAGTTTCTGCAAACACTGCCGCCTCCATCAAGATTTCCACCGTTTCCTCGAATGAGCACTTCTTCAGGGGCCCCTTCTCGACCCTGTTGATTCCGTGCCGAGTGATACTCATCAGGTAGCCCTTTTGAGTCATCGTGTCGCACAATATCGCCAGATGACGGTAGTTCACGTAGCTCCCGTCAAAAGATATGACAGCCCTCAGTTCCCTCAGAAGCGCACGCCGCACAGCCTCAATGCCCAGCACGTCGAAGATCTCTGTTATGTCGTTGCTGGTCGTGCGTGTTGAGTCCACGCGGGGACACGTCAGAACCTCGTCCAGGTTGCACCCATCAGTGTCCAGTACCCAGTTGTTAACGCGCTCGAACTTTCCCTGACAAGAAAACAAGCAAAATGAACGGCTGTGCCGAAATACGGGTCTCACATGATCGTAGAACAAGACCACGAGCATGCACACATGCAAAATGCCAGCGTAGCCTAGAAAGTCTAAGGTAGTCAGCCTATATGCACTCAAAAAGCACTTCAGCACCGTTCGTAGCACCATGCGTACGTACGCCCGCCGGGTGCAACCGACTGGCCTACTGCCGACGTACAGTTGTTTCGTTATACAGTGTCCTCGCCTCCTCCCGCATGTACACCTTGGTAATGCGGCTGACCCCCCTTAGTGTGATGCCAACGAGACAGTGCAGCATGAGTTTCTGGAGGAACCTATTTTCGATTTCCGAGGACTGGTCGTCACTGTTTGGGTCTTGTTCTTGCCCGTGCTTTTTGATGCGTATTCTTAACACCAGTTCGTCAGAGTTGTCATCCGTCCAGATGCAATCCAGCTCATCATTGTCGAATTCTCTGTATATGGTTTCACCTATTTCCTTCATCGTAAGCTTCTTGTCAATCATCACCTTCGAATCGAGTTGCACCCTCAACAACCACCTGCCTAGACTCTGCGGTAGTTCTTCGTCATCCGGGAACTCGTAGTAATCTGACACCCACTGCTTGTCTTGTGGCACGATCGTCTTCGTGGGATCAGGGTCATAAATGACTTGCGCCATCGTGCATACCTTTTCCAGCGTCGTGTGCTCCAAGTGCGTCTGGCGTGAAACACAAAGGGAGAAAATGGCACAAGAATCACTAAACGAACGCGGATGCGCGCAGTATGAAAATGGGAAAAAATAAACTGCAACAAAACACGAAAAGACTATGAAAGGGATCCATGTTCAAACCCCACCTGCACGTCTTTGGCTCTCTCCTGGTCATAGGCGCCTTCGTCGAGAAGGTAGACCGTCAAACTAGGCGTCTTCACTGTTTTCGCGACATTTATCAGTTCCTTCAGCCGAGGCACACCTAGCGTTACGTTCTTAGAACCGACACCCGCAAAGTGAAAAGTGTTCAGCGTCATTTGCGTGGCAGGTTCTCCGATAGACTGAGCAGCAATGGCTCCTACACATTCCCCAGCGTGAGCCAGAGAACGGTGAAACTGACGCTCCACTTCACCTAGCAACCACTAATACCGCAACAACAAACAGTACACACAACGAGCGCACGTTATGCCTGACATGAAACACTTGCGACCTGAACACATGTACTTACACGCGCAGATGCGTGTGTGCATGCACAGATGGACTTGTATCCACACGCACATGAAAACAGTCCTACTCTTCATGTCTAGTCTACTGAACTGCACAAACAAATATCAAGTTCGCCTACGTGGACAGCCTTCGCCCCAAGCTGTTCCCTTTCAAGTAGACGCCTGGAGTTAAGAACGGTCCTCAGGTGTGCC